CGAAACAGCCGCCCATCACCTCATGGAGGCCACCAACAATATGGAGCTTAAGCGGGCGTTGGCCAAGAGACCCGTCACGCTATCGACAGAGTTGGAGATGAAGATCGAAAAGGCGATCACGTTGGAAGAAACCTTGGGGGCAGGGTCCGTCAGGCGCTTTGAGCCGGCGAAAATGCCACGAGAAGAACAGGCGCGTCGTCAGCCTCCAGCCATGATCCCACGAGACCACTTGCTACAGATGCACAGTGGCCCGAAGCGCGCCCCTCCTCCCCCACCAGAGCAGGCGCAACGCGGCCGATCGCCGGACAGGCGCGCGCATAACGCCTACACTCCCCTTAATGACTCAATGAGGAATGTGTTCCATGTCCTTCGCGAGAAGGGTTACAAGATCAACTGGCCTGCCCCGTTGAAATCCCAACCCTACATGCGCGATCCACATAGGCATTGTGAATTCCACAGAGCAACGGGGCACCGAACAGAAGAGTGCCGGGACCTGAGGTACGAAATAGAGGGCCTCATACAGCGAGGGCTGCTGACCGAGTTTGTTCACGTGAAAAAAGAACAGGTTGAGCACCCACAGCACCCGCCGCCGCCACCGCCCCAAGCTGAATATAACGATGACACGGGCGCATATGTAGTGCGCAAGGAAATTGGGGTGGTGACGGTCGAAGGAGACCGCCCCCAGAAGAAAACCAAACGGGAGCGCGCGATGGAGTGCGCGACCACCGACGCGCCGTCAAGGTTCAACCTGAGCTTCGACGACGCGGAATTCCCACAAGGAACCCCATCAGAGGAGCCGCTCATTATCACCGCGCTAATCTCCGCCTGCAAGACCCACCGCCTCCTGGTAGACGGAGGTAGCGCGGCTGACATCCTCTTCCAGAGTACCATTGACAAAATGGACATCGACCGGCGCCTAATCAGGCGCGCGCATGGCAACCTAGTGGGCTTCTCCGGGACTAAAGTCCCGGTCATTGGAGTGGTCACCCTCCCTGTGGTGGTCGGCGACCAGGAGCCTCGCGCCTCAAAACAGGTAGAGTTCACGATTGTCGATTGCGAATCGGCGCACAACGGCATTCTAGGCCGGCCATTCCTTGCGAAGTTCCTGGCTCTCCCATCAACCTGCCACCAGAAACTCAAGTTCCCAACACAGAGAGGAGTGGGAGAAGCCCGGGGAACGACGTGGGAAGATCGCGTCGTGACTCGACAAACCAACATCGTCGACACAAGGGCGGAAGAACCCCGACCGGAGTCGATGGATTCCGATTTTGAGGTCGCGCTAGATCCAGCTGAGCCGACCAGGAAGATACGCATTTCCACTCACGTCAGCAGTGACACAATCGAGCCGCTCGTGGCACTGCTGAAGGAGTACAAGGAACTGTTCGCGTGGTGCACGGAAGACATGCCAGGAGTGCCCAGGGAGGTAGCCCAGCATAGCCTTGCAGTGCCAGCCAACGCAGAGCCAAGACAACAGGGGCGGAGGTCCTTCACGGGCGATAAGCTAAAGGCGATAGAAGAGGAGGTGACGCGCCTACTGGCAGCCGGGCTAATCCGACCCGTGAAATATCCAAAGTGGTTGGCAAATGTGGTATTGGTCAAGAAGTCATCAGGGGCCTGGCGGATGTGCGTCGACTACACCACGATCAACAGAGTGTGCCCAGGAGACCCTTATCCACTGCCGCGCATCGACCAACTGATCGACGCAACCGCAGATCACGAGACGTTATCCTTCCTCGACATGTTCTCCGGGTACCACCAGATCCCCATGTCAGTGGAAGACGAAGAAAAGACGTCGTTCATGACACCGTTTGGAAACTTCTGCTTTGTGGGGATGCCGTTCGGGTTAAAGAACGCGGGCGCGACATATCAGAGAATGATTGACACGGTCTTCTCGCGACAGATCGGGCGGAACATCGAGGCATATGTAGACGACCTCATCGTCAAAACGAAAGCGGGCAAGTCACACCTGCAGGACCTGCGCGAGACTTTCGAAGCTCTCCGCCAACACAGCCTTCGCCTCAACCCACTCAAGTGTGTTTTCGGAGCGGAAGCGGGGAAGTTCCTCGGGTTCATGATAACCAAGCGCGGCATAGAGGTCGACCCAAAGCAAATCACCGCAGTCCAACAGCTGCGGGCGCCCCGGAACGCGCTGGAAATCCAGTCCCTAAATGGCAAAATAGCGGCGCTGGGGAGGTTCATACCGCGATCTGCCGACAAGTGCGCGCCCTTCTTCCAAACGCTCAAGAACGGGGCGCGCTTCGCATGGACTCCAGAATGCGAAGCAGCGTTCCAAGAGCTAAAGGCGTATCTTGTATCTCCCCCTGTACTAACGGCCCCCAAGCTTAATGAAAAACTTTTCTTGTATCTCGCCGTGTCAACAAGGGCCGTGAGCGCGGTGCTAATATCTCGAAGAGACGGCAGGACCGAGCGACCGGTGTATTACACCTCGCGCACTCTTGTAAGCGCAGAAACAAGATACTCCTCGATCGAGAAGGCTGCCTTGGCGCTCGTGAGCGCGTCGCAGAAGCTACGCCCGTACTTCCAAGCGCACCAGATCACCGTCCTGACAAACCTCCCGCTAAAAAAGATTCTGACATCGATGGAAGTGTCGGGGCGCATGGTCAAATGGGCGGTCGAGCTGTCGGAGTACGACATTCAGTACGCGCCAAGACCAGCGATAAAGGCACAAATCCTCGCAGACTTCATTGCAGAGGGGGTAACCCTCGAAACAACACCGGAGGGCGTCTGGGAAGTCTATGTCGATGGAGCGGCGAGCAAACACGGCGCCGGGGCAGGAGTCGTGGTGCGCACACCTACTGGCGTGGTGCACGAGATCGCAATCAGGTTCCGAGCGTTGAAGACAAACAACGCCGCGGAATACGAAGCCATCTTGGCGGGGATGACAGCCGCTCACGACCTAGGGGCAAGAACGATACGGATACTCTCCGACTCCTCCTTGGCAGTCAACCAGCTGAACGGCGCGTTCGACGCAAAGGAGGACGCCCTGGCACACTACATGGAACGCGTCAAAATGAGAGCGGCAACATTCGAAGCAGTAACATATGCGCAGATCCCAAGGGAGGAGAATGCGCATGCTGACGCACTATCTAAACTGGCGACGGCCACCGACTTCGAGTCCACGCGCCTCGTGTCCGTTCAAAAAGAAGAAGAGGATACCCCTTCGGAATCAGCGGTCAACACAACACAGCTCATGACAAACGAAGACTGGAGACACCCAATTGTGGAATACCTCCAAGATGGGACGGTGCCGGAAGACCCTAAGCAAGCTTGGGCGCTAAGGCAAAAGGCAGCTCGGTGCACACTCATCGAAGGGAACCTGTTCCGAAGATCATACTCGGGCGTCTACCTCAAATGCATCGGGCAAGAGGAGGCACAAGATTTGGTGCGCGAGCTGCATGAGGGGTTGTGCGCGATGCACGCAGGGCCACGCAGCATGGAGCGCACCATCCTCCTGCATGGCTACTACTGGCCGAGGATTAAGAAGGATACGAAGAATTACGCGGACCAATGCCACAAATGCCAAGTCAATGCGCGCCAACACCACTTGCCGGCCACCGAGCTCCAAGGCAACTTGAGCCCATGGCCTTTCGCGCAATGGGGAGTCGATCTCTTGGGCCCTTTCCCAACAGCAAAAGGGAAGCGCAAATACATAATCGTGGCAGTGGATTACTTCACTAAGTGGATCGAGGCCGAGGCACTGGCATCCATAACGGCACAACAGGTAACGCGTTTCTTGCGCAACAACATTTTGTCACGCTTCGGGGTCCCAAATGCACTCGTCTTCGACCATGGGAAGCAGTTCGATTGCGCAGACGTGATAGACTTTTGCGACGAGGTGGGGACCATTGCAAGATTCGCGTCGGTCGCTTACCCCCAGGCCAACGGCCAAGCAGAGTCCTCCAACAAGGCAATCCTACATGGCCTCCACACTCGCCTGAATGAGGCCAAGGGCAATTGGGCGGACGAGCTACACACGGTGCTATGGGCGCACCGCACTACATACAAAGTGGCTACAGGCGAAACCCCCTTCGCCCTCACGTATGGAACTGACGCGGTGATCCCCATCGAGACGACAATACCGACCTACCGGATCACCGGGTACAGCGAGGAAGCAAACGACGAGGCGCGCCTACTAGAGCTCGAATTGTCGCAAGAAAGGCGCGAGTTGGCAGCCATCAGGCTAGCTGCAATGAAAGAACAGGTAGCCAAGTACCACAACGCGAAGCTGGTCCCCCACAAGTTGACCCTGGGCGACAAAGTATTGCGACGGAACTTCCGCCCCGACCCCAGGCACGGGAAGCTCGCCTCGACGTGGGAAGGTCCTTACTTAATCCGCGAAGTGGTGGGCGCCAACACATTCAAACTCAGCGAATTGGGGGGCAACAAGATTCCAAGAACATGGAACGCACAGAATCTAAGGAAGTACCATCGTGCCGATTAACGTGTACCACGTTTGTAACAGCGCATTAGCGCGATAAATAAAAGGACATGGTTCGAAAGAACAAAAATTAGCAATAGTCCAGCACTATTCGCGCAAAAGGACATGGTTCGAAAGAACAAAAATTAGCAATAGTCCAGCACTATTCGCGCAAAAGGACATGGTTCGAAAGAACAAAAATTAGCAATAGTCCAGCACTATTCGCGCAAAAGGACATGGTTCGAAAGAACAAAAATTAGCAATAGTCCAGCACTATTCGCGCAAAAGGACATGGTTCGAAAGAACAAAAATTAGCAATAGTCCAGCACTATTCGCGCAAAAGGACATGGTTCGAAAGAACAAAAATTAGCAATAGTCCAGCACTATTCGCGCAAAACGGCATGGTTCGAAAGAGCAAAAAATTAGCAATAGTCCAGTACTATGCGCGCCTAGTCCGAAAGAGCGAAGAGCTAACGATAACCCAACACTATCCGCGCTCACCCAGTCCGCGCACCCTCCGCGCAAGAAAACGAAACAAATGCCCATCCCCGCACGCAAAATTGTCAAGCAAATAGTTAAAGAGCAAAGAGAGAAAGGGGCAATCACAATCGAGGGTCACTTGGCATAATCATAGAAGAAGCAGTAATTTTGTTCGCAATTACACATGGACAAAACAATGACAACAGCTAAGGAAAAACTGGGCGACACTTAGGCAGATCCAGCGTTGGGCTGCTCGTCCTCCTTACTTGACTTGCGACGCACCAAGGGGCTCTCCTCTTCCTCATCCTCGTCTTCATCGGCCACCTCGCCATCCCTCCGGGCGCCTGTAACCTCCTCCCCGGCCGGACGATCTACCTCCTCCCGGCGCTCCCCCTCTTCCTCCTCCTCTTCCTCCTCCTCTTCCTCGGATTCGGAGTCAGAATCCAAAGGACGCTTCCCGCTGATCCAGGACTTGACGTGCTGAACCATGTCGCGAGTATCCCACTGCATCCCTGGATTCTCGGGGCGAACCTTCTTGCCGACCGCTATCACGGCCTTGGTCATGGCATCCGCCATGATCTTCCCGAAAGGTTGGGAAGACTTGAACTGGCGGATAGCCGCGACCTCGGCTGCGCGAACGGCCTCAGCCTTCGCGACGGTATGAAGGCGGACCAGGTCGTCCTTCTCCTTCTGGAAGTCCTCGCGAGCCTTGCGCAACTTCTCAGAGAAGGAGGCTTCCAATTCTTCCCGGAGGGCGGAGCGTTCTTCGTTTCGCACCTTCTCTTTGGCCGCTTCCACATCCGCGGCCAACCGGCTCTGCAAGAGGCCGAGCGACTCCAACGCCTCATTGGCTTTGGATGTCGCGTCGTCAGCACGGTTGTTTGCCCCCAGCACCTTCCCCTCCAGCTGGACGATCTGCGCCTCGTCAGCCTTCATCTTTGCGCGCATCGCGGCGCGCTCTTGCTGAGCTCGGAATGTCGCCGACAGACCCTACAATGCCACGAGCCTTAGCCAAATGCGATGGCAATAAAAAGGAAAACGGAAGAGAAGAGAAGAAGGTAAAACCTAAACTACGGGGATCTAACTAGAGCTTACCGCGAAGTGGATCTGCGCCAGATCATGGAGGGGGTCTGTCTCCTTCACCCGCGGAGGAACAGTGAGAACGGGCCCGATCGCCCGGAGCGCATGATTGGCGGAGACCAGGTTGCACGCCGCCGCCGTATGAATCCGCACGTCACGAACTTGGTGGACGGCGGCGGTAGTGGGAGTAGCGCTAGCGGGGGCAGCAGTGGTGGTTGCCCCGGAGGAGCTGCTCGCTCCGCTCCCATCCCGACGAGCGGGCCTGGTCACCGTCGCCTCCGGCTGCGACAATGCCAAGGACAGCTGCTGCGCGGCGGTCAGCTGCTGCGCGGCAGGCGTCTGCTTCACCGCGGCAGGCGTCTGCTTCACCGCCAGAGGAGTCGGCTCCACGATGCGAATCGTCTTGCGCGGCCTCTCGACAGCCTGCGCGGCCGGCTGCTCGATGTCCTTCCGCTTCGGAGCTTTAGGCGCCGCGACATTCTTCTTCTTCTTCTTCTTGTCAGCGCGGGGCGCGACGTCATCCACCGACATCATACTGGCAATGTTGGAGAAATCAACACCTGCGCCAATAAGTCGTAAGAGAGCGGTTAATAAGATAGAATACAAAGGAAAGAAAATATAACTAACCATCCCCAAACAGCTCCTCCAAGCAGGCCTCGCGGACTCCCTTGGCGTACAAATTGATGCGATGAGGCATGCAAGCCTCATATTCGTCGTTCAGCCCGGCGTAGAACCCGACATCCGACTCGAACCCATGCGTACTGCCCTTCTCCCAGGAGGTGGGCTCCGCCATGGTCCCGCTGGCCCATTGCCCGGGGGTAGGCTTAACATAGAAGAATTCCTCGAACCAGGTTTTCTTCAGCTTGGGCGAGCCATACACAAAACCTTCGGGGCGGTGGTCGCGCCGCTGGATGGAGAGACAGTCGCTCACCCTGGTGGGCTCCTTGATTTTGTACATCTTCCTGAACAAGCCATACGTAGGCTCGATGTTGAGCCTTTTGCACGCGAGACGGAGGCAGCTCGCGTGCATGATGACTGAAGGAGAGAGCCGCCCGACGGAACACTTGAGGCGCTCATAGATCGCGCACAGCAACGGATCGATGGGGAACTTGAACCCCATCACCCAGTATTCCGTGTACACGCCGAACCAACCAGGGGGGCAGTTGCCCACCATGCTGCGCACCGACGGGGCAGCGTACTCCCAATGGGGGGGCAAGCCCAGCCCGCGGACCAACTCCTCCACGTCGTCCACGTCGTATGTTGAGGAGTGCTCGGGTCCGCGCTTAAGGTTGTCCGAGGGCGCCGGCTGATCGCCCCACATCTCGGCCCACTCGATCACACGGTAGGTCGCGCCGACGCCTTGCGCCCCCAGACGGGCAAATGCTTCGGAAACGCGCTCAATGGCGCGCGGCGCGAATTGCGCATCAATATCTCCTTGCGCCATCTCATCCGCGGCCTCATCATCGACGACTTCATCGTCGGTGACCTCATCGTCGATGACTTCATCGGCCCCTACCGGTCGACCACCCGGAGTACGCCGGATGATCATCACTCCCCGAGCCTGCTGCATGGCTTCCCCACTGCCGGAGGGAATTTCACCCACGTCGGAGGAGCTTCCGACACCGTCGCCGGACCTGGCATCGTATGACGGCGTCGCCGGAATCCCACCGTCGCCACCGTCACGTCCGCCGTCAGACCCGTCGTCCCAACCCCCAGAACCACCGTCCCCGTCACCGGAACGGTCAGAAGAAGTGTGCGAGAGAGGGGAGAAATTACCTTCTTCGCCTTGCACGACCTCGGCCTCGTTGTTGTTGTTGACGCCGGACATGATGTCGACTCGAAACTTGGCAACAGCTGAGAAGGATCGAGGTTGCAGAAGGAGGAGAAAAAATCTCAGAGGAAGCAAATCTCAATGAAAGCAGAGGGAAACAGTAATCAGAGGAGACAGATGAGTCCTTACTTCTCACAACAACCCATTCTTATAGTGGGTCGGAGGGAAAATAAAGGGCCAATGGGAATGCAAGGGGCCAATGTCGGCCAGCGGAAGGCGAAGGGTTAAAGCAACATAGGGATCCGTAACCGTCAGATCCTACCAAATCTTTTCGAAATTCAAAAATCCCCGCCCAAACAGCCTAACCACACAATGACACGTGGATACCTACCAACATAGGCACTAGTCGGCGACGCCACGAGTGCCGCGCACCGCCTGGGGGGCAAGATATACCCGCGAGGAAAGAAAAACATGCTTCGCCCAGTACCGGGTATCTCGCGACGCGCGAGCGCGCGGAGTACCCATAATCGCCCCACGCATCGCCTGGGGGGCAAGATATACCCGCGAGGAAAGAAGAACATGCTTCGCGCGGTACCGGGTATCACGCGACGCGCGAGCGTCGCCCCACATCGCGCGCGACGAAAAACCTAAACGTGAGCATGCGCGGGAGCCAGCCGATCGCGACGAGCGGAATAGACCCAAAAAAAAACCAGCATCACGGAGACCACACAGGCCCGAGTCATTCAGGAAAAAATCCAAACAGGAGGTGTTCGCAAAACACCCCCTGATGGGGGGCAATTGTTGGGCGTGTGACTCGGGCCTGGCCGCGTCAAGGAACGGACGCAACTGGATGGACTCCGACATAGCAGCGCGAAGACCCCGAGCGCGACACCTCATCGTAGTCAACTACGTCCTGGCGCGAAGAGTTTGTGCGCGATGTGAGTTACAGGCGCCGAGGAAGAGCGTAGCGCAGGCAAAGCCAAGAGAGGAGGGAGGCGTAGCTTTCCTCCCCAGGAAGTGGTCACATCAAGGCCAGTGGCAAATCTCTGACACGTCCTAGGTAGGGTGATGGCCTGGACAGGGTCTAAAATCCTTAGTATGTACCAGTGGTCACATCTTGTATCCCCACTTGGGTCAACCACTCACCCACCACAACGAAGCCTATAAATACGGCATTTACTACGGTGGGTGAGGGGATCGCATTTTTCACCATTCTCTCTCTATAACAATTACTTCTCTTTCTAAAAGTTTGGACTCCGGTCCTCACTCAACTCTCTAATTCCTCTCTCCCCGATCGAACTTGACGCTCGCGTTTCTTCTTGACCCAAACTCTCATTCGAACCTCACTCCTACACTCAGTTAGGTTCAAACAAATTTGAATTTGTATCTTAACGCTAAAAGTACAACTTGAAGTTGTACCATAAGGGAATTTGTACATTTATGTTATGGTACAACTTTAAATTATAACATAACATAAATGTACAACTTTAGTTTGTATCATAAAGAGATTTATACAAAAGAGTATATGTACAACCTGAAGTTGTACCATACCGTTAAAATTACAACTTTAAATTGTACCATAAAGAAAAAAAAAAGCTAAAACACCAATACTTTAAAGCATTGTAAAATTCCACATCATTTAAACGACATGAAAAATGTGTTATAGCAAACATGGAACCAAACGGCCCGCTTTACTTGATAATCTAAGGGTGTTGTACTATGTAGAAAAGGAAACATCATTGTTAACCTTCTCAAAGGAAGCGTTACAATAGTTATCGGTTTCTTTGTTGTGTTATGTAAAATCATTTATTACTGTGAGGAAGAAAATCATTTTTTTGTGGGAAACAATATATGTCTTAATCCACTTTCCAAAAGTCTTATAGACCAATGTGGTATTTTCCACCTATCCTTGCTCTATACTCTCCCTATATAAAAGAGACGACATCCTCATCCTTGCTCTGCATCGTGCATTTTGTCAATTGAAATTTAAGAGAGAAGGCAAAAGATCTCCTCAATCAAGCGATTGTTCTTGTTCTCGAGCATAATGGAAAAGGCTTATTTCAAGGTGTTATGCATCATGGTTTTAATTCTGTCACTTTTTGGTACGTATATTTCGATTCTTTAACTTCAATTATATATTATTGTAAACAAATCCATAGGTTTTTTGTTTGTTTGTTAATGAAAATAAAATCTTGCACTAATAGGTAGCGAGAGTAATAATATTGGAGTGGATGGCGCTAACATAAGCCAACCTTGCAAAACTGATGCTGATTGCCTGGCCCCACCGGGAGCATGTGCTTGCAACGTCGAAATCCGCCAATGCTTCTGCCCACCGCCCAAACAAGAACAGAATCCAGAGATCCCCATCCAAGCTTCCAAGAGCGTCCAAGAAGGCAATTAAATGTAAAAAAGAGTTCAAAATTATGCATGAGCAGATCTCAAAATAATTCATGTGTAAAATGCTCATTATCAGAGGCAAACAATAAAATAAAAACTTCGGAGTAGACTTTCCTTTAACCAGACTTGCTTCTATCTCGATTTTTATAGTAAAAGTAGTGTCTTCCGATATTTCTGAAGTGATTGATGTATAGGCAAAAATCTTTAAGGATAAATAGTACCGATATCGAGGATTTGAATCGAATATGTGTAGGAGTGACTCATGAAAGATTATAAGATATTTCTTGTCAAAGTAGTCCCTTCCAATATTTTTGAAGTGATTGACGTGTAAGCGAAAGTCCTTAGAGGTAAATAGTATCAAGATCGAGGATTTGAATCGAATATGAGTAGGGAGAAATCAAGAATTTATATAAAAACTATCATTTTTGAGAATTTTTTTTAGAACTTGTGTAGTTGGGTAAGAAATCCACTGATTTTATAGTAAAACCATGATCAAGATGGCTAAATAATATAATAAGATTTTACGATCAAAATCTCAATTTTGATTGCTTTGGCTACCAATTGCACAATATGTCATTTAATGGACCTAAAATATGCGTAAATTATGTGTCATCACAAATACGGAACCAAATGTCCAGCCTGACTTGATAGTCTGAGGGTGTGTTGTCTATAGACGAGGAAACATCATTATTAACCTACTCCAAGAAAGCGTACAATTGATATCGATTTAATTTTTTATGTTTTATAAGATCACCTATAATGTGGGAGGGCAAGGAGGGTGGGGGAAGGATTTGATCACAATGTGAGGGTGGGAAAAGGGATAATTGGTTGAGCATCTTTTTTGTAAAATCAATCTATAGTTGATTTCGTCACTTTATTTTAATATAATGATCATTATTTTTACATAAATTGTGAAAATTAATTAATACGAACATTTTGATATAATTTTTCTAATTTAGACATAATTTTTTCATCACTAATTAAAAATGACATCATTAATGACGAAATTACAATAATACGAGATTGTCCGTAGGAGACAAAAACACACTCAAACAAACACTTCTCTGCAATTTCAGAAGAAGAAAAAAAGTACGATTTATGTCCCGCCCCCACTACCCCACAGGCCACATCCATCCACTTTTTATCTTTTACTGGTGGGTATATCCCTCCATTTTTCCAACTTTCACATATTTTCCATTTTTCCCTACCACACTATAGGATTTTATCCTATTTATCAACAGACATTGTAGGTGGTCTAAAATCTTTTTTTTTTTTTGGTTTTTGTCTTATCTTAGACCACTTTCCAAAAGTATTGTAGACCAATATAGTATTTTCCAACTATCCTTGCTCTATTCATCTCCTATATAAATAAATAGGGTTAATACCTTAATTTGGTCCGAACTATACACATACTTTCTACTTTGGCCCGTGGTATTGAAAATTGCTACTATGGCCTGAACTATGTAGCAAACTTCCTCCTTTGGCCTGGAGGCGGGTTTGACCGTCAAATTAGACGGTCAAACCTGTTGACCGTTAGTCAACGTACACCCCACCTGCCAAGTCAGATTGGAGAAACATAAAAAATTTATTTTTATTTTTTTTCTTTCGATTAATAACATTAATAATATAATTCTTATACAAAAAAAAAACTAAACAATCAATTAAAAGAATGAAAAAAGAAAAGAAAAAGCCCAAAATTATCTCAGCCCTCCACTTCCCTTATCCTCCCGCATCAACCGGAGACTATGGAGGGCTGACGACCCGATCCCGATCCACGACCCGATCCCGTACCCGGTACTGACGTTGCTCTCTTTATCGAACAGCACCGCTGGCTCCCCCGTCGCCGACGTAGGTAGGACCCTCCGGCGAGAGGATGAAGCTGGAGACGAAGTAGACGGCGGCGGAGAATTGGAGCATTGTGCGGTTGGTGGCGATGGATTCCGACAGGAGGCTCGCCCGCCATTCTTGGAGGAGGGTCTCCAAATTGGACATTTCGCCAGGTGTTTGAGGAAATTCCCAGTCGAGATCGAGGCCGTCGAAGTTGTGGTCCCTAGCGGATTTGATCATGGAGGCGATGAATTTCGTTCTGGTTGTCGGGTTGCTGGACATGGTGGCGAACGCCGAGGCGTTCGAGCCCCCGCCGGCGATGGAGAGGAAGATATTGGACTGGTTTGAAATTAGTTGGTTTTATTTTGGACCATGTTGCAATTTACCTCTTACTTGTACCCGTGAACTTAGTAGCAGGGTATAAGGTAGTTTGCTAGCTGAACCCTAGAGGGTAAGAGTGAACAGACTTCTGTACTTAAACTCATCACCATATTGACATCTTTCTTGAGAGCTATGCTCTCCGTGGACTAGTCCCGATCTTCGGGGAGACCACGTAAACCTCGGTGTTCTCTTTTACTTCCGCAATCGTTAGTTTCTAAATGGTATCAGAGCTGTGAGATTCAGCTTCTTCAATTTCTTTCATCATGGGTAAAACGGAAGAGGAGTCTAGCGGCGGCACGTTTATGGTTGATTCTGAGCCTTGCGTCATCCCGATCAGCTCACCCCTCTATCTGCATCCCTCAGAGAATCCTGCGCAATTGTTCGGTAGTGATTTGCTGAACGATTCCAATTATGGAGAATGGGTTAACGACATCACAGAAACCCTAATCGCCAAAAACAAGTTGGTTTTCGTGGATGGATCATTCCCCCGCACCAAAGCTGGCTCGCCCGCTCATCGCGATGCCTGGGATCGCTGTGATGCGACTGTTAAAGGCTGGTTGAAGACAGCCATGACCCGTGAGGTTCGCAACAGCGTCCGGACGGCATCGACGGCGCGTGATATTTGGATGGATCTGCAGGGTCGCTTCAGCAAAGGAACAGCGCAAAGGGCCTATGAGCTCCGCCGCAAACTCAGCACCCTGCGCCAGGAAAAGCTTTCCGTCTCCACTTTTTACACACAACTACGTGCAGTGTGGGACGAGAAGCTGTCGATAGGGGGAGTTGCACGTTGCACATGTACTGGTTGCACTTGCGGCTGGGCTCGGCAATTCCACGAACAGCAAGAGACCGAGCAGCTCTTCGAGTTCCTTCTCGGCCTTGATGACGCCTACTCTGTGGTGCGGTCACAAATCCTTAGCACGCGTCCCACTCCTACGCTCGCCGATGCATACAGAATGGTCACGGCGGAGGAGCAACATCAGCTCCTCACCAGCGCGCGGCGTCCCGTCGTTGACTCCGCTGTGTTCCAAGTGCAAGCAGCCGAGTCTCGTGATGGGCGTGCTCATGATGAGTAGGAGCACTCGCGGGAAGACAAAGACCGTCCCCGCTGTTCGAACTGCCGCCGCCTTGGACACACGCGAGACACCTGCTACAAGCTGGTCGGGTATCCCGCTGGTCATCCACGTGCCAAGCAAATGGATGGAAGACTCCATTTGAGATTCTTTTGGGGCGTACTTCTTCGTATTCGCATCTCCGCAGCTTTGAATGCCTTGCTTATGCGAAGGACACCCACCATGGTCTCGACAAGTTTGCTGAGCGCGGTCGCGCAGGTGTTTTTCTTGGTTACCCGGGTTCTCATAAGGGCTATCGCATTTATGATTTGCATACTCGGAAAATTTTGGTTTCTCGTGATGTGCAGTTCATTGAGAGTGTTTTCCCCTTTCATCTCCCGGGCTACGGGGGCGTCGACCTCGCCCGTCCAACATCATTTAATGCCCGACCCTCCATTCTTTGATGGAGACATGGAACCTGCTGATCAGGTGGGGCAACAGCATGTGGAAGAGCCCGTTGAAGACCCTGTTGCCGAGAGCTCCTCTCCCATTGACGTAGCTTCACCATTGCATTCCCCCTCCCCACCGGATCCGCTCGAGGCATCTCCCTCGCCCTCGTCCGCTTCAGGGGAATCCCCATGCATGGCCACACTCACCCCTCCTTCGGCGGTCTCCCCTACTCCACGTGAGTCCCCATGCATGGTGCATGCAGAGACCACGTCGCCCACACCTCCTGCCCCGGCTCTCCCGCGACGGAACCCTCCACGAGATCGTCGACAGCCTACTCGCCTGGACGCTTATGAGGTAAACTTGCCCTCTGCCTCGACTGTACAATTTCCCATTTCGCATCAAGTCACATACCACCGGTTTTCTGACCGTCATTGTGTTTTTTTGGCTGCTGTGTCCAATCATTTCGAGCCCCGGACCTATGCACAGGCTGTTCAGTATGCACACTGGCGGGCGGCCATGCAACGAGAGATTGATGCGTTGGTGGCCCAAGGGACGTGGACATTGGAGTTCTTGCCTCCCGGGAAACGTGCGATCGATTGCAAGTGGGTTTACAAGATTAAGTTCTTACCGGACGGTACTATCGAGCGCTACAAGGCTCGTCTGGTGGCCAAAGGCTTTACTCAACTGGAAGGGATCGATTTCCACGATACCTTCGCTCCGGTGGCCAAGCTTGTTACAGTTCGCGTCCTTCTGGCTGTTGCGGCTAAACAAGGGTGGTCATTACATCAACTCGACGTGAACAACGCATTCCTCCATGGTGATTTAGATGAGGAGGTGTACATGAAGATCCCTCCGGGTTTCAGTCGCGATGGTGATCACAGAGTTTGTCGACTGCGGAAATCATTGTATGGTCTTCGCCAGGCTTCCAGGAATTGGTACACTAAATTCACTGAGGCACTTTTGGAGTTTGGCTTCAGCGTCTCCAAAACAGATCCCTCCCTTTTCCTGTATCGCCGCCATGGTGCCTTTGTGGCCATTTTGATTTATGTCGATGATGTCGTGATCACAGGTTCTGCTGTTGATGTCATTTCCCAGGTCAAGGCATTTCTACATCACTGGTTCAGCATCAAGGACTTAGGCCCTCTGAAGTACTTTCTTGGCATTGAAGTGGCACGATCCCCTGATGGCATTGTGCTCAGCTGACATTCTTGCCGATTCCGGGATGATGGCTGCTCGTCCTAGTGGTTTTCTGATGGAACAAAACCATAACCTGACACGACCCACAGAGGAGCGGCTGGATGATGCTCACTCCTATCGTCAGCTGATTGGGCGCCTGCTATATCTCACGATCACTCGGCCTGACATAGCCTACTCTGTGAACTTGCTTTTCCAGTTTGTGCAGTCACCTAGCCCGGATCACATGGCAACTGCTCATCGTGTGCTCAGGTACCTCAAAGCACCAC